GCAAGGGGCACTTGGCACACAGCTGGTCCCCGGGGGCCGACTTGTAAAATCCCAGCTGGCAGGCTGCAGAGGAGGGAAGGGGTGGAGGTCAGAGGGGGGCACCTGGGCAAAGAGCATCCCGTGACTTGGGGGGTCCCACCAGCACAGAGCTGCACCCTGTTTTCGCCCCAGTCCTAGTGCCTGGGGAACCAGCCCCTCTCCCCAGTGCCTGGGCAAGTCCCTCTTCAGCTGTCCAGCTGGAAGCTGGGCTCTGTGAAAGCTGCTTTTCCTCCTCCCCCAGGCTGTACTTACTGCCATCCTGGTACCCGTTCCCCACTGTTTCACAGGCAGACTTGGTTGCCTCCACTTCATGAGTCTACAAAGCTCGAGGTGCTCTCCTTGCACCCATGCCTCCTGCCCACAGCTCTCCCCACTTCAGCCACCCCTCTGGGCCACCCCCTGGCCCTGGGGCAGGGAGCACTGCAAAGATCAAACCAAGCAGCACTGGAAACCACCTCAACTGATCTAAGAACCATCATTTATGGGCCAAATCTATGGCACGGTCCTCACTTCATGGTGGTTGCCACACTATTCATGCTGGGTGTGCCCCCGTGCACCCACGAAAGCAGTTTCAGGAGTTAAAAGCTCCACACCTGCAGCAGGGTGCGTGTCCCTCTGCAAGCCTCTGCTCTCTGCTAGCCAAAGCAACAGGTTTCCTGGCACAAAACAACGGGAAAAACATCCTCTCTTGTTTCACATTGCAGCAACCCAGCAGTGCACGTGCGCTGCCTGCTCTCTGCAGAGGGACAGCAAGGCCAAACGAGCCAGCCTGAGCATTTTCTGACAACACAACCTGCCTTCAGCTCGCCCTGCCTCCTTCTGCTGCCGGGGGCTGTGCAGCAGGAGCTCGTCCTGTGCCGGGGCTGGCATGGGCCCTCCCTGTCCTGCCCACACCTCTCCCAGCAGCACCTCGGGTGAAGCATTTGTCACAGAAACAAACAGCTCGTCTCTCATTAGGAAAATCGATTAGCTGAAGAGTGACATGTGGCACGTCAGGTATCTGTCTGGGGGTGGAAGGATCTGGCCTCTCTTGCAGATTTCAATTCCAAGTCAGGAAAAACTGGCTCAGTCTGGTCCCTGTGTTCATCAAACACTTCTAGGACCAGTTCCAGTGATTCAAGCACTAAACCTGGCTCTGGCTCATTTCTGATTTTCCCTACTGAGGCAGTAATATCTTCATTTTCCCATCTTTACCCCCAGTGGTCACCTCTGCATATTGCCTGTTTTTGCATCCCAGCCTGTAGTAGTGTTTTGGGTTTGATCCAGCACCCCCAGGGGTCTGGGTCCCTCTGTGCTGGCTGCTTTTCTGCTTCTGGGTGCTGATTTGTTTCCTCATTAGTAGTACTCCTGGACACAGATCTTTTGGCTGTTTCACACATCACACACCACACAGTAACGCAACGGCCTCTTTGTAACAGAGCCAGGTCCAGCAAAGGCAGCTGAGGCTGTGCCCCAGCCACACAGCCCTGTCTGCCCCCTGCTCCCTCCTCAGGCTCTGTCACCAGCATCCGTGGCAGTGTCACACAGAATGCCACTTAAACGTCAGGGCAGGAATGCCACCAGCAGGATGGACACGTGCTGCACGGGGCAGAGATGCTGGTTGGATTCACAGCTTGGTGGAGCAAGCTGGAAAATGCAAAGGCCAGAATCTGCTGAGTTTATTCCCAAATCTCTGTGACTTTAGTCACCAGAGCAAGGAGCAGAAATGCCCAGACTCAGAGATGCGAGGGAAGGCAGATGTGGCTCAGGAGGAAATTGCAGCAGTTTGGGGTTGGCTTTGCTCCCCAGCTCTCTTGACACCTTTCACCTCCTCAAGGGCATTGGAAGAGGAGAGAAATCAGGGAAGGCAGAGCTGGGAGAGGAGGTTTGCTGTCCCCAGCTGGCTGCACCAGCGACAGCCCAGGACCTTTGCCAGGCTCTGGTGCTGACTGGTCTTTGTAATGTCACTCACCACGAGAGCCAGGGGCTCTCTGCCCTCACCAAAAGCCTTCTGCCAGATGCTGCAGCACCCTCCTGTCTGCAGCCCCTTGGTTTGGGGTGTAAGACTGAGACAAGACACTCTGTTCTCATGCAGAGATAAATTTGTGGGTAGCCAGCTGGGGGGAAAAACAAACAAAATCTCTAAGAAAGAGAATTTCCCTGCTCCTCTGCATGGGAGAAGATGAAGACGTGGCATGAGCACAGCCCACCAGATGGGAAAGGAGCAACAAGGCAGCACCCAGTCCCTGCTGGCCAGTGTGCATACCAGGATCTGCCACCTTCAGCCTGTTGGGTGAACCCCTCCATGGACTGCAAACCACTGTAATCCCTACCCATGCAGGAGCCAGCAACCAGGGACTGGATTCAAGAAGCACTGGAGTGGTTCCCCCACCAATATTTAATTAAGGGCAGAGAAATCAACGCTGTATCAGGCATGGGGAGACAGGTCAGCAGGCAGGATGGGCGCCTGAAGAACAGCAGATTTGCACCAAGCAACTGTAATCACTTAGCATTTAATGCTGTAAAAAAAACCCCTTAATTACCTGTAGCAATGATTCACAATTATTTTAGATGCACTCAGGGGGAAAATTATCCTAAATGACAAATTACAGGTGAATTTGTGCACCAGGGCTGAGCCACTGAGAGTCACATCACAGCATCTGGATAGCACAAGCATGTGGGGAGGTCTGGAGGGCAGCTGGGGCTGGGGCAGGCACTGCTCTTGATGGGATCATGCACCTCTGTGTGTATCATTGTTTGGTTTGGATGGAAGCAGGGCAAAGCCTTTCACAGGCATGGGAGACAGGGCAGCAGCTTGGGACCTGCCCAGGACACCAACTCCCTGCAGTGCAGGATGGGAGGCATGTCCTGCTCTGGGCTGAGCTCTTTCGTGCCAGGCCAATGACATGTGGAAGACCAGGACCTCCTTCCTGGGCTAGCTCTGGTGAGAGCAAACCATCAGAGAACGGGCCAGTGAGAAAATTCAAACACCCAGGTCTGAAATCTGCAGGACTCCATAACCACGGCTGTAGCACGCACCGAAGGCACCAAAACCTGAAGCCACCCACCAGGGAGGTGCAGAACCATTGTCCTGTTGCCTTCACTGCAGCCAGCCAGGGCCACCCGATAGAATTTCCCTCTCAGGAGCCCTGCAGAAGGTGGGGATTTTTTTAAAAAAATATTTTATGAAGTTGATACCTTTGCTCACTGTCTGAGGACGCTGGGTCCTGCCTCTTTACCTCCTTGTCTTCCCATCTCCAGTCAATCCAATCCTCTTCAAAATGACATGTTTTTCCATGAAAATGCTACTCTGTAGTATTTTTTACTTTCTGGTGCACAGTTATAGATGTAACGCTTGCATGAGCAGTGTTAGATATTGCAGCTTGTTACAGATGTCATTGCAATAAGCTGTATACATGCATCACATTATTTAGGTTGTTTCCTATAAGTATGCCCACTTCCAAAGAGTATTAAAACTGTTCATGCTATTTTTCTTCATCAGTCCAACCATTCATATGTTTTCATTTTTTACAAAGTGTTCCAGATTTTGCCCTTTTTTTTTGGGGCTGGGCACGCAGAGAAGATCCAGAGTGATCCACTTCCATGTGCAGCCTGCTGGGGTCGATGCCACAGGGTTCCACTGATCCCCCCACCCTGCAGAGCACATCTCGCCCCTTTCTGCCAGCCCCTCTCTCTCTTGCATCTCTTGCCCAGGGGGCCCTGGAGCAGCTTGTCTCGGAGACAGCGAGCGTGGAGAGGGCTCTGCCAGACATCTGTAGTTCGGTCCATTTGTTTCCCTCCCTCCCCATCCTCTGGGGACAGGAGAACATCTGCTAATAAGCTGGCAGAGCTCAGGAGATGATAGATGGACCTGTCGAGGACACGCTAGCCGGGAACAAGCCGCTTGTCTCAGCCTGAAGTCCCTGGCTGAGCCCAGTGCTCTGCAGGTGGCCCTGCTGGGACCTCCAAGGACTGCTTTGGTAGGGCTGCCGTTGAAAGCACTATGTCATATCACCCCCTCTTGGCTCCATCCTCAGCCCAGGAGGTCTGGGCAGGGCGAGGGCATGACTGAGAGCATGCCATAGGGCAGCTCCACAGAACCAGTGCCACCCAGTGCCCCCTTCCCTGCCCCTGCAACAAAGCTGGGCATCAGTAAGCACCAGAAGAGCATCTGTGTGCCTCCCTTTGGCAGTGCTGGGAAGAAACAGAGATGGAAATAAGGGTGTCAAAGCCACTGTGACAGCCAGAGACAGGCACCAGTGCCAGAGCCCTCCAGGCTGCAGAAGCCAGCACAGATCCCAGCTCCTTTCAATCCAGTTCCAGCGTGAGGCCTCCAATCTCAGCTCCCACATGACACAGACTCTGAAACAGAAGCCTGTTATTCACAGTCATGTCTTAAAAAGAGGCATCTGCCTCATTGCCCCAACCCTTCTGTTTTCCCTGTAGTCCCAGGTCACCCCAGGTCCCCAGTTTGGCTGGTGGTCTGGAGGGGCTGCTGGGGACTGGTTAGGCTGGGTGTCTCAGGGAAACTCTTGGCCCCTAGATCGTGCATCACCCCACAGCCCTGCCAGTGCTCTGTGCATCCCTCGTGTGCTGCTTGTCCCAGCCCTGTCCCACACCCCTGATCACTGCCTTGCCTCTAGCCCCTGAGCATCACCCCACAGCCCTTCACAGAGCTCAGATGCCACCTTGCAGCCCCTTTGCAGAGCTTACAACCCTCCTCATCCTCAAAACTACCTGTCACACCACTCCACACACCTGGAATTTTCTCGTATCACCCCAGACTCCATCTCAAATTTCCTCCCTGCTGCTTGGCCCTTCCTGCAGTTCCACTCATCCCACACTCCTTCACACCCCGAATATTACAGGGGTACAGGGGGAGTTTTCACCCATGAAGATTTTGCAAAGCTAGCAAAACCCTTTGTACCAGGCTGTGAGCAAATGGCACAAAGGGCACCTTGCACAGCTTTTTACTCAACACCCAGACTTCACAGCCACTAGGACTAGTTGTATAAGGAGGGCCCTGCTCTTCCCAGTGAAGTAAT